TCTGAAGGGCAGGGAAACAGCCCAATGAACATCACCGCAGAGGAGCCAATCAGCTAGATGTTGCTGGGGCCACTGTGAGCCAATCATCAGCCGGCAGCTGGAAGTTTGCTGGCAGCTGGATCATCAGCCGGCAGCTGGAAGTTTGCTGGCAGCTAGAAGTTTGCTGGGGCCCCTTTGGCTGTGGCTCTCAACATATATGGATTCAATGCCTTTATTTGTTTTTATGTGGTCCTAGGATTGAACCCAGTGCCTCACATTTGCAAGGCAAGTGCTCTACCACTGAACCTATACCTATAGGCTATATTTTAATTGATTGCAAAATGTGAAAAAAATACGTATATATATATATATATTGGGGGCTAACAGGGATTGAACCCAGGGGCACTTAAACTAGTGAGCCACATCCCCAGCCCTTTTTATATTTTATTTAGAGACAGGGTCTCACTAAGTTGCTTACTTAGGGCCTCACTAAATTGGTGAGGCTGGCTTTGAACTTGCAATCTTCCTGCCTCAGCCTCCTGAGCTGCTACAGGCATGAGCCACCACACCCAGCTCTCTTTTATTTTTAATTGGCTGAAACATCAATTTTTATTATTTAAAAAAATGGACAGATAATATTGTATATATTTGTCATGTACACTATAAAGCTTGAAGTATGTATACTTACTCCATTCTTCCTAGTTAACTTTGTCCTGTGAGGTTTTCCAAGAGGCATCCTATTCAGAAAGTCCCATCAGACTATCTGGATTGGTCTCTCTGCAGAACCTGTTGGATCACTAGTTACCACTATATGACCAGGATTGCCACAACTGCCCCGCCAGGTCATAATTTTACAGTGTTCCCTGGGCCAGAGCATAGGGCAACCACCAAGATCTGCACATCTTTTGCTGTGAGCTCTCTTCTGTCTTTGTTTATAGTTGCTACCAGTTGACCCAATTTTGAAAGGTTTCTGAATGTTTTTAGTGGGGCGAGACAGGGGCCTGCCTCTTGTGAACGGCTCCAGAATGGTGGTGAAGCTGAATGTCCACCTCCACCTCACATTTTCCACTGTAGAAACCCTTGTGTGTAGGGGGATGGGCTGTGTGTGGTTTCATTCCAGCTGGGGAAGGGAGAACATGGGAAAAGCAAACGGTCTCTCTTACCACTTGAACCCTGCTTTTCTGGATTTAAATGTTTGTCTCTGGTCACTCTTGTCTGTGGATATTTGTGGGGTGAATTTGTATGGGAGCGGCCGGATGAAGCTGAAGCACTCCTACCTGGCTATCTTCCTGATGTCACACTAATTATCTTTGGGTTGTTAATGTACATGTAAGTTAATTTTGTTATTTATATAGTCTTACTTTTCAAATGGCGTGTGATCAGTATGAATCAATTTTACAGTCAGAAATTACAATAATTGGTTATAAACCTCCCTTCAATGTCTGGTCCTTTCCATGTTTTTCTGATCACCATCCCTTGCTTCAGACTGGGTGCCACTCTGTATTGCCATTCATGTTTGGAAGCTTCAAGCACTGAATGATTTTCTGCCTAACTTTAATAGAGACAAGAATTCTAGTGTTCAGCCAAGTGGAGTGAATCTTGGACTTAGAGGAAGAGAATAGACCTGGTAACAGGAAAATGGGAGTGCCGGGTGGGGGCAGAGAGCCAGGATAAAGATAGTCCTCAGTGTTCTCAGTGAGTTCTAATTTCCCGTTCAAGTAAGTTCCATTCCTGGGCTATGATGAATGTGCACACAGTAAGACTGAACAGTATTCATGTTTCAGACGATCTTGAATAGTGGACTAATCTTATGGAAAATATTAGGTAATACCATTTTCATAGTTTTACTTTTTAAAATTATTTTATTTTTATGTGATGCTAAGTATGAAAACCGGTGCCTTGCACATGCTAGGCAAGTGCTCTGCCACCAAATTTCAGCCCCAGTCCGTGGTTTTACATTTTTTAAAATAAGTTTTTATAGTTGTAGATGGACACAATACCTTTATCTTATTTAGTATTATGTGGTGCTAAGTGTCAAACCCAGTGCCTTCCACATATAAGTGTGATAGTAGGAGCAAATGTGACTCCATTTTGTTTTATGACTTCATCCTGTAAAACAACCATGCCAAGTAGAAGAGTCATGACTGGAGCAAGATGTTCTTTTCCTTTTGCTTTAGAAACCTATAAGAACACAGAACTACCTAATGGGGCATTGTTTCTATAACTAGGGTAACAGGGCTCTGTTTCTGTAACTGGGGTGACTGGGTTAACTGTGATTGGTTAGGCTTCCCTCCACTTGACTGCACTGTCCCGCTTTTGTAACCTGGCTTGCTTGCATTGGCTAGACCCCCTGAACATCCCTTTTGCGGTTTTCAGGCATATAAGGAGTGCCCTTGTGATTGTTTGGGGCTGATCAGGGGAACAGCTTTGTGTTCTGGTCAGCCGCCACCGGTGTGCTTCAATAGAGGCTTGATTCGATTATACG